TTTTGTGCGTAATCACAGGTACCTGGAGTGGTCTACCATCTATGGCCTCAACGGCCAAGGGTGTATCTCTTAACCTGGAAGGAAGAGAATTCTTAATGGAAAAAAATCTGATCTATGAAGTTCTCCACTGCACTGGAATCTATTAAAGCCATGGTATTAACTATGTTTTTATCCCAGGTTAAGGTGATGTGAATGAGAAGCCTGTGATCTTTATGTTTCGTTATGGAGGACAAAGAAGAAACACCCAAGGCCTATCCCCCATAAGGACTTAGATGCAAGAGTTTTCAGGCCTGTCAGGACAATTCAGACAGAGATGTCCTCTTTACCCGCAGTATAGACATAATCCCTCCCTTCTCCTGTATTGTCGTTCGGCCTCGCTAAACCTAGTGATTCCTAATTGCATAGGTTCAGGTAAAGCTAGTGCCATGGAGTCAGGGTCGTTATATACAGGAGCTATACAAACAGAAGCCCTTCTAGGCCGTTCTCTGCTGTTTTGTCTATACCTCATTCTCTTATCTTTACGTGATATGAAAGTAATTAAATCCTCTAGGTTTTCAGGAAGATCTCTGGTAGCTATTTAGTCTAATATAGCATCCGATAGACCGTTCAGGAATACATCTACAAAGGTGACACAGATGCTAGAGATCTGAACTCAAGGGCATACTCCACCAAGGTTCTGTTTCCTTGCATAAGACAAAGGAGAGACCTGGCCGCATTGACCTTTCTACCAGGGGGGGTCAAAAGTACACCTGAAAGCCTCAACAAAAGCAACATAGTTATAAATAAGTGGGTTGTCATTTTCCAATATAAGATTTGCCCAAGTCAAAGCTCTATCCACTAACAGGGTTATAATGAAGCCCACCTTAGCTCTATCCATTGGATATGAACGAGACTAGAGTTCAAAGTGGATACTTATTTGGTTTACAAAAACCACAGAAGGCTTCTGGTGCCCCACCATAACATAACGGTGGTTTGACATGTGACGAGGCCCCACAGTTGTCACCTTGAGCCCAGTAGGCAGAGGGGCTCCTGAGGGATTATGACCTTCATCTTGTCCAGATGCAGACCGGTTTATCAAAGTCTGTAAAGCAAGGGCTATTTGATCCATGTGATGATCCATTTCCTCGAAACAGGTATTGTATGGACCTGCCTGGGTACTTACACCTGCCGGATCTATATGGCCCTGTGTCAGGTAATCCTGGGATTCTATATGCAGAGTGTAATAGAACAGTAACGTGTACCGGAACTTAGAATGGCCGGGCTAACGTCACAAAGACAGAGAGTAAACAGGGACAAGCCGAGGTCAAGGGAGCCAGAAATCAAGAACAGCGAGGATACAAAAGCCGTGTTAAAAGGCAACAGAAGGTAGAGTAGTCAATGAAGCCAAAGTCAAAACCAGGAGTAGAATACAAGTATGTAACGCGCTTTTGAGACTGTAAGAACCAAAATAGAGCAATGAGACATGTTCTAAACTCCCCTTATATACTGTGTTCCTTTCATTAGTAGCCACGCCCCCAAAATTGTCAAATTTGAAAGTTTTGGCAGGCCGTGACATCATCAGCATCATGCTGTCGGTGTGCGTGCACCACGTCATAAAAAGGAGGGGGGCTACTGTGGCTGGTGTGAGAACCACTAGAAACATGAGGAGGACTTCTGGACAGGTCCCCAACCTCCTGCAGGATGTCATCAGCATGTAGCACAGCCTGTGCCAACACATAAGATACCGTGACACATCCCAGCATTCAAACATCAAGACTACACACAAATGCTTACCTGCATTTGAATGACAATACTATATAGAAACATACTACTGCTTTCAAATGGCTCCAGCTTCCAGTGGGGGAACCTCTCCTACTCCAGAGAGTATAGCAGGAACAGCTCTTATAAGAGCTAGTTATTAGAGCCCAGGGGAGTATAATGAGTATAGCAATAATAACAGTGTTACAATGCATGACACTCCCATATACAATACAATAAGTCGTCCCCTTTACTTAGGAGATAATTGAGTCAAGCACCATTCTAAACTCAATTATCTCCAAACACAAAAAACACACATTTTTACAAAACCCCCCAAAAACCTTAAAATACATAAAATCTACACAAAAGTTACATCCCCTGATAGCCCTGATCTGGGTGACCAACATATCCAAATATCACCCAGGAATTTCCTGGAAGTCATAGTTTTTACCGACCGCACACATGGTCCCATACCCAAAACGGTTCCATAGAATCGCGGCTAAGTGCTGCTGGCGGCCAACCAGGAGCCGCGAAGTCTTCATGCCAAAAATAGTTCCAGGGCATTCGCGGCTAAGTCCCCCTGAAGTCTATTTGCGGTTTTGGACCATGCGAACGGCCGCCAAGGAGCTAGCGTTCAGTTCTATGGAAAGTGCTGAACCAGGGGGTATAAAATATGGGTCTTTACAGTCATTGACTTGGCCCGTTTGCTTTTGGCTACAGGCTGGCCAGCAGGCCCCTCCAAGCACCTGTGACGAGGTTCAGTTCATCACAACATACAAATACACTACTACATTCCACACATAATCCATACAAAAACATGCTTACATTCAAACACACAAACACTGCTCACAAATACAACCATGCTAGGTTGGGAAATGGTTGATCCTTATCTGGCAAAGCATTGTGGGAGTTGCACGACAGTTGAGAATATACCTTTTTGGCCATCCTTGCACTAAAGGGGGCCCAAAAAAAGTCATGCACCTGAACCCCCTCTACATTAGTTCCGCCACTGGCATGCAAATATCAGGTAAAGCCACAACCAGCATGCTGGAACATTTAGGTGGAATGTTTGGTCAGATATTTCCTGTTACTGATTCCTTTTTCTGGTTAGTCTGAATGGAATAAAAACATGTAAGAGTCTCCATGTGTGACTGCATTCTTAAACTTTAAACTCACATATTCAGGGGGTGGATTATCTTTATAGTGACAGCAATGTTATCCGTCATTGCCATCAAGGAAACAATTTGAATTTTGATCTGAAGGTGGAGTTGGTATGTGTGTATGGGGGACTCTGTGTCTATATATATATATATATATATATATATATATATATATATATATATATATATATATATACACACACAGTGGCAAGAAAAAGTATGTGAACCCTTTGGAATGATATGGATTTCTGCACAAATTGGTCATGAAATGTGATCTGATCATCATCTAAGTCACAACAATACACAATCACAGTCTGCTTAAACTAATAACACACAAAGAATGAAATGTTGCCATGTTTTTATTGAACACACCATGTAAACATTCACAGTGCAGGTGGAAAAAGTATGTGAACCCTTGGATTTAATAACTGGTTGAACCTCCTTTGGCAGCAATAACTTCAACCAAACGTTTCCTGTAGTTGAAGATAAGACGTGCACAATGGTCAGGAGTAATTCTTGACCATTCCTCTATACAGAACTGTTTCAGTTCAGCAATATTCTTGGGATGTCTGGTGTGAATCGCTTTCTTGAGCTCATGCCACAGCATCTCAATCGGGTTGAGGTCAGGACTCTGACTGGTCCACTTCAGAAGGCGTATTTTCTTCTGTTTAAGCCATTCTGTTGTTGATTTACTTCTATGCTTCGGGTCATTGTCCTCTTGCAACACCCATCTTCTGTTGAGCTTCAGCTGGTAGACAGATGGCCTTTTGCAGTTCTCCTGCAAAATGTCTTGAAAAACTCGGGAATTCATTTTTTCTTCGATGATAGCAATCAGTCCAGGCCCTGACGCAGAAAAGCAGCCCCAAACCATGATGCCCCCACCACCACACTTCACAGTTGGGATGAGGTTTTGATGTTGGTGTGCTATGCCTTTTTTTCGCCACACATAGTGTTGTGTGTTTCTTCCAAACAACTCAACTTTGGTTTCATCTGTCCACAGAATATTTTGCCAGTACTGCTGTGGAACATCCAGGTGCTCTTGTGCAAACTGTAGATGTGCAGCAATGTTTTGTTTGGACAGCAGTGGCTTCCTCTGTGGTATCCTCCCATGAAATCCATTTTTGTTTAGTGTTTTACGTATTGTAGATTCGCTAACAGGGATGTTATCATTTGCCAGTGACTTTTGTAAGTCTTTAGCTGACACTCTAGGATTCTTCTTCACCTCATTGAGCAGTCTGCGCTGTGCTCTTGCAGTCATCTTTACAGGACGGCTACTCCTAGGGAGAGTAGCAGCAGTGCTGAACTTTCTCCATTTATTGACAATTTGTCTTACCGTGGACTGATGAACAGCAAGGCTTTTGGAGATACTTTTATAACCCTTTTCAGCTTTATGCAAGTCAACAATTCTTAATCGTAGGTCTTCTGAGAGCTCTTTTGTGCAAGGCATCATTCACATCAGGCAATGCTTCTTGTGAAAAGCAAACCCAGAACTGGTGTGTGTTTTTCATAGGGGAGGGCAGCTGTAACCAACACCTTCAATCTCATCTCATTGATTGGACTCCAGTTGGCTGACATCTCACTCCAATTAGCACTTGGAGATGTCATTAGTCTAGGGGTTCACATACTTTTTCCACCTGCACTGTGAATGTTTCCATGGTGTGTTCAATAAAAACATGGCAACATTTCATTCTTTGTGTGTTATTAGTTTAAGCAGACTGTGATTGTCTATTGTTGTGACTTAGATGATGATCAGATCACATTTTATGACCAATTTGTGTAGAAATCCATATCATTCCAAAGGGTTCACATACTTTTTCTTGCAACTGCATATATATATATATATATATATATATATATATATTAGGTAAATGTATGAATACTGGCCCTAGATATCTACTCTATCTCATTTTAAAGAAATATTATAGTGTCAGGAATGCAAATACATATTCCTGACATTATAGTGCTGGTGTGGTTGTTTAGGTCCCTGTTCCCCCTTTTGTGCAGTGAAAGGGTGCTTTTACACACCTTTTTTCCCACACTGTGCTGGTCTTGCTGTGTCTAGCCCCGCCTCCATGGCTGAGATCATCAATCTTGATTATCTAAGCCAATCCAATGGTTTCCAAGAGGAAACCATTGGTAGGCTCTTGTGAATGTGCAACAAAACTCTGTGCAAATCAGGATCTCTTCATTGAGATGAATTGAATCAATGCATCTCTATGGGGAATATTCAGCGCCTCCATGCAGAGCGTGGAGACGCTGAACCCCAGTGCTGCACATTGTGGAGCACTAGACTAGGAAGCACTTCTAGTGGCCATCTGAGCAGGGGAGGGCTGGCAGCCTTAGGCCTGGGAGGCAAATCCAGTCAAGTGGCCCATTGCACCAAGAGGAGAGTAAAAACACCTTTCTCATGTGATTGAAAGGGGGGAGGGGTGGGCCAGTCACCTAAACAAACACTCAATGACAGGCACACACACACACACTTGCTGATTTGGCACACACAAAAAAAACACACTAACTGACAGGCACACGCACACACTCACTGACAGGCACACAGACACACACAGAAAGACACACTGTTACAGGCATACTGACTCAGACAGACAGACATACTGACACAGACACACTGTTACAGACATAATGGCTGACACACACACAGACAAACTGGCAAACACACGGAGAAATACTTGCACACTCACACACAGACAGACATACTGGCGCACACACACACACAGACATACTGGCGCACACACACACAGACATACTGACGCACACACACAGATATACTGACGCGCACACACACACAGACATACTGACACACACAGACATATACATCCACCCATACTTTACACTTTTAAAACCAGTACACAGGGGCTGAGTAAGGGGACAGGGACTGTAGTGGAGGGTATAAGCTGTAATTGGAGGTTTAGGAAATGTAGGGGGGGTAGGGGCTGAAGCAGGTTGATGGCAACAATTTGGGAAAGGGGCTGTGGTTTGAGTGATATGGGTTATGGGGCTGTGGTGGGGGGCATGGCGCTGAGGAAGGGGAAAGGAACAGGGAAAGGGTGGGACAGGGGCTGAGAGGGGGGACAGGGGCTGGGCAAAAGAGGACAGAGGCTGAGGAAGGGGGTCAGGGGCTGAGGAAGGGACAGGGGCTGACTAAGGGGGACAGGGGCTGAGGAGGGGGGACAGGGGCTGAGCAAGGGGACAAGGGCTGTGCAAGGGGACAAGTGCTGAGGAGGGGAAAGGGGCAGAGGAAGGGGGACACGGGCGAGGAGGGGGGGCAGGGGCTGAGGAGGGGGTCAGGGGCAGTGGTGGATCCGGGGGGGCAACGGGGCAATTGCCCCCCCCCCCGAGAATACCGACGGTCTCCCTCTCCCTCCCCTGCCAAAACTGCAATGTGCCTGCGGACCGGAGGGGAGATGACAGATCTCACTCCCCGGTCCGCAGGTACTGTCCTGACTGCCGGCTGGGGAAGGAGAGGGAGTGAGAGGGAGGACTCGGAGCTCAGCCTGCAGCTCCTCTGGGTCCTCCTCTTGCGAGATTTGGAGCGTTGCCGCGGTTACCACGTCAACGCTCCAAATCTCGCGAGAGTGAACTCTCCCCACTGGGACCACCAATGAATCCCCCACCGGACCACCAGGGAAATGTCCCCCCTCCCACAGTAAAGGTAAGAAGGGAGGGGGGATATAGAATATTTATTTAAATAAAAAAAATATATATTAAAAAAAAAAAAGCCCCCATACCCTTATATCACACACACACACACATACTGCCCCTACACACACACACTGCCCCCCAACACACACACATACTGCCCCCCCTACACACACACACTGCCCCCCTACACACACACACTGCCCCCCATACACCCACACTGAAAAATCTGAGTCCTCAGCCAGAGGCAGGGCCGGAGCCAGAGGCAGGGGATTTCGGATTTTTCCTATTTTTGCTGGATGTGGGCGGCCCTTGGTTTAGGGCGACTTGGGGGGCAATTGCCTCCCTGCATCTGAGTGACTGCACCTAAAGGTGTTACTAGGCACTAATGTAGACACTACCTTTTCTCGGAAAATGCAGTGTTTACATTGAATTTCCTGCAGGGACAGGCTATAGACACCAGAACTACTAAATTAAGCAATAAAAAGGGAAAGGGAAGTCTATAGGCTTCTTTTGGGGTGTGCCTATTCTGAGTGGCAGCTTTTTATCTGTATGACACACTTATAGAACCTAGACTCTGGATCTCTCCTTATCTTGTATTCTACTAAATTAAGCTGCAGGGGTTCTGGTGACTATAGTGTCCCTTTAATTGTCAGGGACAGGGGCGGCTGGGCCGGGGGGCAGGGAGGCAATTGCCCCCCAGGCCGCCCTAAATTCCTGTAAGGCCGGCCGCGGCGGGCCGGCCCTTTAAATACTGCAGCCGCCTGAGCGCTCTGTTAAGAGCCTCAGGCGGCTGCAGCTTCTCCCCTCCCCTCCCCTGTAGCGTGGCCGAGCTGCACTCCGAACTGTAGCTGGCCGGAGTGATAGGAAGGTGCACACTCAGTGTGCACTTCCTGTCAGTCCGGCCGGTTACAGGAAACAGAAACTCCTGTTCCGCGCGGAGTTTCTGTTTCCTGTTACCGACCGGACTGACAGGAAGTGCACACTGAGTGTGCACCTTCCTATCACTCCGGCCGGCCGGCCACCGCGGACCGGAGTGCAGCTCGGCCACGCTACAGGGGAGGGGGCAAGAAGAG